TCTTGCAAAGATGGTGTGTATCCTTGGTGGTACCATTTCGCCTCTATCAAGTAAGTTTTACATAACTCCAGCCACTAGGAGAAATTAAGATTGAAAGAATTAGTTAGAGTAAACAAACAAAAAGTCATTCAAGTCAAGAATTAAGTAACGATACCGCTTTCTTTGAGTAAGGAAGGATGTTTATTCCTTGTTCCTGAAAAATGTCCGAGGCAATTTGGTTCATGGAGTTGTGCAGGGCAAAAAAGCATAACTTCATATAGTCTAGGAGCTGCTCTGTTGCATTGATACCCCATCTGAAATCCGATAGAACAATTGAAGCATGAAAGAAATTATTAAGTTCAAATGAAAGCGACTGCTAAGCACAAACCTTTCAAAGGCATCAGTAAAAAATTCAAGTTCATCCAAGGTTCCATATACATCATAAACATCATCTATTGTTGTTACTAGTGCATTGACTTGTGCGGCCATTCTTCTAAAATATCTGTACTGAGGTTGGAACAATACTCCAGTAGTCCATCAGAAATTCTCCATCAGTCTGTCCCTGATGAACCCCAAATTTTGTCCAAGACTTGTTCTCTTCCACCACGTAATTTGTGCAAAGAAAAATTATTTTTCACATCATGAAATCCTTTTTTTTTTTTTCTAAAGGTTTAATTAGTATTTGTTAAGGTAATTAAAGTTATTGAACTTCTTACATTGAGGCATGTTTTAGATCTTCCTGGTAGATCGCTTGCACCATGTTGAAATCCAGCTTGGCAAGATCAAGCAAGAGGGGATTCGTATCTGGACTTCGTTGATAACCCCAATGAACCATCTTGCTTCCATCCTTGGCATTCTCCAACGGAGTGGAAACTCCAGGGCATGCTCCACTAGTGTTGAAAGGTAGGGATTTTTGCTTTTGTTTAGCTTAACATATTCACTAAGATAATTTTTCGCGAAAGTTCTAGCTGCATCCAGTGTACTTTCACCTTCCAATGAAAGGAATGAAGCTTCATACAAATATAGCATTCCTTTGCAATCCATGTTGAGACAAGCCTTGAAGTTTCCACTCTCATTTAATAAACTTTTGAATATCTCTGCAAAGAAATACAAGATTTGAGTAGTTTTCCATCAATTAGCCGTTTGATAAATTTACAACATAAGAAAAGTTGAGATTAATTACCTTGAGGTACTTTGTACCCATGTTGCCTTAAAATTCTAAATTCAAGCGCAGCCACATATAAACTCTCTCTTTCAAAGCCATAATAATAACCCTGATTATTTGTGTATACTTTCTCC